AACGAAGGGCGAAATATGTTGTTGGTTTCGACACCCACCTCGGTTTATAATTTTAAACAGGCCGGGCGTGGCCTACTGGTTGGCATAAGGGGCTGCAGGATGCGAGGCCCAATGTCCGAGTCCTCTTTCAAGTTTAAACCTGTTATTTGGCAATATATATATATATTCTATTTTATACACAGTGTCATCACCATATTTTTCGTTATTACATAATTTCGTGGTTTAGTTACGATTTTAGTTGTCGTGTTTAATATGTATTTTGTTCTTAATTTGTACCATAAGCTAGTTAGCTTTTCACTAATAACACCGAAAAAAAAATGGCCTAGAACCATACAAATATTTTCTTCTTAAGTGTGTTTTTTTGTTTGTTGAGAAGTATTTTTTAAGTATTATTTTCCGTTTTGAATTTCGTTTTCCACCTTTTCTGTGATACACAGTCTCGGTGCTGTAATTATGTATTTTTAATATTTTCAGGATCATTCTTTGTCCCTCCTCAAAAAACGTCTACTCTATTTAATGGTTTACAATGTAATATAATATTATATATTTTAATTAACTACGTATTACACATTAAGACCACACACACATATACTTGTTAATCGGCGCCGACCTATCGTTGACTTTTATGGTTCGGCGATCAAGCGCATTACCTTTGGCAAATCTCTGCCAATTTTTACGGTTTTTGTCTACGTTAATCTTTGTTTACTTTTGGAACATACAGATACAATAACAACACAGTTATATGGAGCGACAAAGATACTCATAGAACATTTATCAATGAAACCAATCCCATCTGCGTATGACTGCTTTAGTAACGAATTACGTAAACACTTTCATGAGCATACCATAACATGATACATACAAAACGAAAAGAAAACTGTCGTGTAAGATTACTTGATTGGATGTATACCAATGTACAGGTATATTCAAATTACATGTACATCCAATCAAGTAATGTTACCAATGTACAGGTATATTCAAATTACATGAGATTACTTGATTGGATGTACATGTAATTTGAATATACCTGTACATTGGTAAGATTAACTGATTGGATGTATATGTAATTTGAATATACCTGTACATTGGTAAGATTACTTGATTGGATGTATATGTAATTTGAATATACCTGTACATTGGTAAGATTACTTGCTTGGATGTACATGTAATTTGAATATACCTGTACATTGGTAACATTACTTGATTGGATGTATATGTAATTTGAATATACCTGTACATTGGTAAGATTACTTGATTGGATGTATATGTAATTTGAATATACCTGTACATTGGTAAGATTACTTGATTGGATGTATATGTAATTTGAATATACCTGTACATTGGTAAGATTACTTGATTGGCTGTATATGTAATTTGTATATTGGATGTTGTGCGTTATCATGTCTCACTGTTAGAGGAGATGAAACGTTGTATTTAAATAAATGTATTACTGTTAGAGACGAAACGTTGTACTTAAATAAATGCGTTTATATTATCACACAAACAGTCGTTTCAAAAACTTGTCTCCTATCGGTTCAGCGGTTAGTTTACGGAATTAACAACGCTAAAATGCAGGGTTTGATTTCCCGTGGTGGACAAATTGCAGATTGTGTAGCTTTACACCCCGGTGGGTGAGCGGTTATTTTACAGAGTCACAACGCTAAGATATGGGGTTCGATTCCCCATAGTGGACACAGCAGATAGCCCAATGTGGATTTCTGTAAAACAAACAAACAAGAAACAAGCACTTTTTGTGTTTAACAATTAAGTGTGAACCTCTTCAAAAGAAAGTAGTGATATATATATATATACCATATTAGTCCGATTATAAGGCGGTTATTTTTTAATTAATAATTAGGCTGTAAAAACTCATATTCGCCTTATAATCGTGGCCGACCACAGGCCTTTTCCCTTACTCTAGCCTATCAAACTCATGAATGTCCAGATAGCGTCCGTTTACGCATGTGCACCAGATGTTCGCTCAAGATCATCGCTAATTCTTACAACTAATCCACCTGCAGGCTGTTCAGCTATAGTATTGATTTTGTGGACCTAAAAATGAATGTTATGACACTCGATTTTTTTCTTTCCCATGGTTACTAAAAATGGAGGTCGCCTTATATTCGAGATCGCTCTATACGGTATTGTTTTGCCAATATAGGAGGCCTTACAGTCTCCACACGTGCAAATATGTAAAAGCCAAGAACAAAAAGAAATTGAGAGAAAGTCTTTAGTGGGATGTGGGTTTAAAAACTAACCTGAAATCAACTTGGGGTAGTTTTTAAGAAAAAAAGACTGACTGCAACGCAATTTTGGCAAAATTGTTTGAGTTTCGATGCAATGGGTGCATCCAGTACAATGGAGCACTCAGGTTTGCTAAGAAGTGTCAAAGGGGAGATATTCAATTCTAATCCATGTATTCGACAAAGTACAATAAAATCATGCATGAATATAATACCGACATGAATATATATATATATAAATATTTATAAACCGAGCAAAACAAATATATACCCAAACACGTATCTCTCTCTTTATGCGTCTATTTCGTTCACATTCCCACCTGCGAAATATTTCTTTCAATCAGTCGGGAGGAAAGTCCTGTTTATTTTTTTTTGTGAGTGTGTGTGAATTTCTCTCACAAGAAGAAACATGTTTGTTTAATAAGTTTTTTCTAGGATTGACCGTTCAGTAGATACGAAGACTGACAGATCAATGTTGATATTCATAAGGAACTGCAAAAAAGTTAATAATTTTCCTGTAGTGTACTCTTGAAAATAAGCATATATATATATTCCTGCGATTAACTGTTCACGAGATACAGAGCGTGACAGACATTTGGCTATTATATATATATCGATTGCTATACTCATCGAATACTTGAAATATTGTTTTTACACCACTCTGGTAAGATGTATTGTACTCGGACCCACTTTATTGACGTTCCACAATGTGGAGTAAAATTAAAAGCTTTACCTGTACTTGTTCTTTTTAGTCTGTTTCAGTTTCAAAACCATAAACGTTTTGACAAAGTGCCAACTATTGAACTGTTTGAACAATAGTGTGGCAACTTATTATTTTTGTGGATAAAATTGGGACACATGATAATCGACTCGCTTGTTTTTCACTTTAGCCTGTTTAGTTTTTGCATCTTGAACGGCATCTTCCGGGTCAAAGGTTAAGATATAGCCATCTATAATTTATAATAGACGCTGACAAGAGGGTAGGGCACGAGTCAACTGCCA